TCCTCCATGACCTCAGCTTCCTCAGCAAGGCAGTTGTCATCTACTAGGTGTGTTTTGGGTCATTATAGCTAAAGCTTACCTGTCGAGGAGAAGAGTAGCCACTTTGGCATCCGATTTCAAATTCTTCTCCGCTTTCAACCGTCTCCATCGTTCAAAAGCATCTCCTATATAGACCCTCGCTTTGTCTCAAGTTTTGTATTGGCGTTTTTGGGACTCATAACGAGGTCGTTTGGGTTTAGTTGCACTGTCAGCCACTGTAGCTCAGTCGTAACTGTAACTGATGCTGAGACTCTACTGACTGTGTAACTGGTAGACGGCGGTGGGTGGCGCAACAGGCCAAAACAAGAATTCAAAACATAAACATGATTTGCGGACAGCAAATAAATTTTTTAGATGCAAATATTCTGGCTGTACTATTGTACTATTGTTGTCGGTGAGATCAGTATGTTATATTAACATTATTCCTTAGTCTCTGTGACATATTAGTATTATTTTTACGACTATTTGCTTTAGATTTCTTACATATAGCTCCTTTAAGTGACAATAATCTATGGGCGCTAGAATGATTCAGTATTTGCCCATCTGACTGTGGTGTTTTCTGATGCAATATGATCACAAAGTGGAGTTGTGCATGGGCGGTAGGGGTTAGGAAGATATGGGAAAAATAAAATGAAAAAATAAAGTAAAATAAAATTTTATAATTTTGTTTTGACATATTATTTGTATATTTTAACTGACATCTTAATTATGCCTCCACAATATACTTGTAGGCTTATTTGAGTGTTTTTTTCCCCCTCCTCAACCACTTAAGGCAATCTTTTATTTTTATTCTCTTATATGTTTGTCCTGTTTGTTTGTTGATATGTTTAGGCTTATATGTGATTGTTTAATGTTATGTTGTGTATTGTATTCCTTTTTTGATTCTAAAAGTTGGCCAAATATGAGAATGTTCCCTTTATGTTCACGTAATGCAGACTATAATCTAATACGATTTTAATTCACCCTATGAATAACAACGAGCTGGTTATTGGTAGCTATAATTGCAATGGTTTAGCCAATAGAAAAGAAATGAGTTTTTTAAATGGCTTAAAGATAAAAATATGTTTAATATTATATGTTTACAAGAGACACATTCTATGCCAAATGACGAAACTAAATGGATGAGAGAATGGGGAGGACATATTTGCTTCAGTCACAGGAGTAGCAATAAAAGGGGGGTTTCAATTCTTATTGAGAGAAATACTGAATATGTAATCCATACAACTTTACGAGACTCAGATGGAAGATAGATTATTGTAGATCTCACAATCAAATCTATATGATTATGTCTGGTTAATTTGTATGCACCTAATACTGATGATGCTATATTTTTTGAAAGTATTCAGGAGGCTGTACAAAAATTAAAAGATTGTGGGGCCCATGTTATTTTTACAGGAGATTTCAATATGGTGATGGATTCAATGACAGATAAGTCTGGAAGTTACTCAGTTAATTATCACCCACAGGCATCAAAAGCCATTCAAACTCTTATGTCTTCTCTTGACTTGCTTGATATATGGCGTTTGAGAAACCCTACAAAAATTAGGTATACATGGCGTAGGAAAAAACAGACCAGTTGAAATGATTATTTCCTTGTGTCTTTCTCACTCTGTTCCAAGATATCAATGACAGACATAACTGAACATATGCATTTAGACCATTTCCTTATAACCCTGCATGTGATGACTGATGATTCTCCCAGGGGCCGGGGGTTCTGGAAGTTTAATCAATCCTTATTACAGAACGATTTGTTCATTGAAAAAACAAAAAAAAAAATTCTGATTTCTTTAAGCATAATATTGGTAGTGCCAATCCCCATATTGTATGGGATTCATTTAAATGTTCTTTTAGGGGACATTCCATAAAATACTCTTCTTGGAAACATAAGTTATGTGTGCATTATGAAAATTAATTGCTACAAGAAATAAATAGTTTGAATGAAGAAATTGACAAAGATAATCAAGCACCCCCAGATCTCTATGAGAACTTGGAGACTTTACCATAAAAAAGCCAATGGAATTATAAATAGGTCTAAAGCTACATGGATGGAGAAGGGTGAGAAATGCACAGCCTATTTTTTTTTAAAACTTATGCAACGAAATCAAACAAGAAAAAATATGACTCACTTGGTGACTGAGAATGGTTTAGTGCTATCATCTTCAGATGAAATCTTAGAAGAAGGAAAATCCTTTTCTCAAAATATTTACACCCTAGGAGAACAGAGCAGACCACCACCAGATCTCTACCAATCCTTTCCCTGCTTTATATCACAAAAAATTATCAGAAACACAGAAACAAAATTGTGAAGGTATGATTTCTGAGAATGAGTTGTATGAAGTAATTAACTCTTTTAAATCAGGCAAATCACCAGGTCTAGATGGGATTCCAATCAAATTTTATAAGATATTTTATGACTATATAAAAGATCCCTTGCTAGCATGCTTTAATTACTCATCTGAGACTGGTAGAGTGACTGGAACCCAGATATTATGCATTTATTTTGGTTTTGTCCTCATGTAGCTTTTGGATCAACTTTAAGAAATGGGTCGCTTTGCACTCAATTATGTTAACTATGTGCCCTCAAACAATAATAGTTGGTGAACTGGGAAATAGATGTCCTAGCATTGTAAACACTGTTATTTTATTAGGCAAGAGCCTAAAAGCAAAGGAAAAGAAAGACTGACTCTTCCCACTTTTCTTGCTTTCTTAAAACATTATTTTATGTTGGAAGGTATTATTGCTAACAGACAGGGAACAAGGAATGATTATGATAAAAAATGGAATTCATTAAGGCCAAGTCTAGAAGAAGGATGCGATTTTTCTATTTATTTGTTTGTCTTTGGTTTACGTTTTGTATGTTTGTGAAGTTTTGTTGTGTTCTCGTTTTAATTGTTGTATTGTTTTGGAGTGGCTTTGTTTTGTTTTTGTGCCATTTCATGATATTTGTCTTGTTTGGATTATGTTAATGTTTAAAATAAAAAAATAATAATAAAAAAACACCGCAAAGGGTCGTTCAGAAACAACCAGTTTTGTTGTTTGTTTGTCTTGAACAGTGGTCTGCAGCTTGGTAGGTGCCTCCACCCATCCCCTTCGCCTCCCAATGACAAAGTCAGCTCCTATACTAAGTCACTTTAGAAATGTTAATATGATATGAATGAAACATACAAATGTTTCCTGGTTTGTAGAAACATACAATGTGATAATTTTCTTCTGGCAGGTGGGCTGAGAATTACATGATAATCATTTGGTTCATCACCAGAGGTTTCCTGTTTCCCTCTAAATAATGCTCAAAGGAGAAGGGCCCACTGCCATAACCTGGGGTTCAATCTGCAGTACAGAGAGACATAAACTCAAATGCTTATTGCTCTGAATGCAAGAAGAGTCCTGATTGTTATACAGACTTATTCCCTACAGACATCTTCAGAGGCCTCATTTATCAATGCGTGTTGTAAGACATGTTCTAAATGTCTGCATGGAAACTGTCTGCACAAACAAGAAAATGTACACACCTACACACAGTGAACAATGATCTCACCTGTTCTACATCCATCTGCTTGTGGATGTACAGACTTATTCACATACAGAAATGGCCCCCAGAATGTCAAATATCACATTATGTATACACTTCTCCATTCCCGCCACCATCTCCTGACAGATTACCTGACATAAGGAATGATGGTGGGCTAAATGACCAGTGGTAAGTTCTGCTGTGTATCTAAATCAAGTCACCCACCCTTGAAAACCTAACAACTCTTCCTGACTAGAAACCACTGTCAGCTGTTTTCCTGCTAAGTCATAAAAAAATGCAAAAAAATCTAGGGACTAAACTTTGGCAACTCATTACAACTATCATGCCAATAACGCCTATTGAATTAATTTGAATTGAGTGAGTAGTGTGATCCCTGACTTGTCCCATGTGATCGTGCATTAAGGCCCTGACACACCAAGCCGACGGTCGGCCATCAGTCAATGTTCATCAATCAATGAGCGTCTGACGCCCTGGTCACTGCTGTGTGTCCCCACAATAAATCGACGACGGTGGTGCCTGTGGGTAAATGAAATCACTCTGATTGGCACTTCAGCTCAAAGCAAAAGAAGAGAAATGGAAGTGGGGAAAGTAAACAAAGAGCTTAAGTCCAGAGGGAGCAAGATCAAACTTGTTCCATGAGGTCAGACTATTTTTCTTTAGCCATTGAGCTCTTTAGCAGAAATGTTTCCTAATGGTTTGTGTTACTGTTCACTGGCACACTGTAAATATGCTCTGTTCTTTCAACTTTCTTGGATTGTGTTGTTAACGTGATAACTGGCTAATTAGCATCAAGACGGTCTTCTGGTTTCCCCTTTTAAATGACGATTACAGACTACCGCCGTCTGCTGGTGTCGCTTCCTCTCATGCAGGCGCAGAACATATATGCTGGTTGGGTGCCAGCTGTAGTCTTTGCAGTGTGTTAATGTGCAACTTTCTGACTGAGACACGGTGATGTCAGAAGACACAGCAGAGGGCCTTTTTCGCCACTAGCTCTCTGAAAACGGTTTGGTGTGTCTGGGCCTTTAAATCAAAGTCCTGTATGTGAGCAGCGTGTCTTACCTGACTTGAAGGTTCACTGCTGAATGAATCCATTTTGAATTCTATCAGCTGACTGTGACACCTTGCAGGCAGAGTGGCAGTGCCTCCACTGTGTTGACGCTGAGGAACAGTTCTCATTTGAGGAAAGGTGTCCAGGCTTTCCTCATTGGGCGTGTGTGTGGAGAGAATGCAACCTGAGTCATCTCCTGGAGAACTGACTCCTGCATCAGAGGGAATTGAAGAGTTGTAGCCATTGTTCCAGCTCTGGAGCTCTGAGTCAGTACTGTCCCTGTTGTCTCGGTTGAAGGATGATCGTGATATGACACCAAACTTGCGCATGCGTTTGCAGTTTGCCGAGCTGTCAGAGGGCTCAGAGGTAGCTCTGGCCTGCTTCTGCTCTTCACAGCCATCACTGCTGACAGGGGCACTGATGCTGCCATTGACGTTACAGGGAGGGAGAGGAGCCTTTCGCTTGACTCGCCGCAGCATGATGAGGTAGATACAGCCTCCATTCCAGCACTGGTCAGCCAGGTAACTGTAAGAAAATATTGTGGGATAATGTTGTCACTGCATCCAGGTTCAATTATTATAAGAAAAAATACAGTCCTAACATCTCCCCACATTTTCACCTCTGTGGGAATAGATGAGCGCTTGATGCATTTCTTACATCCTCGTCTTACATTTCTTATATAAACTAACATTTTGTTTTTAAACGTGAAAAGTGGACTTGGGTAGGGTATTACAGTTGGGGCTGGCTCAGGCTTGCCCCTAGTTAGACTGCTATGTAGGCCTAGACTGTCTGGGTGCTTCCATTGATAAAGTGAGCTCCTTTCTCCTCCTTTCTCTCTCTCTCTCCATCCGCATGTATTCATGTCCCATTAATGCATGTTACTAACTTTCCTGGAGTCTTGGCACTTTCTCGCTTTGCAGGTTTCTTGGATCGTGGTTGAGCCTGCTGCCATGGTCCTGCTCAACCCCTACTGCTATTCAACTTTCAATTCAATTTTATTTATAAAGTCCAATATCACAAAACACAATTTGCCTCAGAGGGCTTTACAACATACAACATCCCTTTGTCCTATGGGGTTTGGTATAAGTTTAATTTACCAACTGACCCCATTGATCAGGAAAAAGATGGGACTCAGTGAAAACCCAGTGGCTATTGTTGTTTCTCTGCTAGTTGCTCTCATGGAGGAGCAGGTCAGAGAAGCGACCAAGCTGGGAATCACAGCCATGCAACTCGGGAGTCCACAGTGAGGAGGAAATCTGCAAAGACGGCAACACTCTTTCCCAGACATCATCACAGCTCATCTCCGCTGCACGCTGCACTTGCTTGCTGGTCTGTTTACAGTGGCTCTGTGCTAGCCTATGTCACACGTTTCATTTACTGATTGGTTTTTCGTCTTTCCAACTGCGTGAAGGGGCACTTTGAGTGACAGCCGTTGATACCGCCCCTCGAGAATAGAGGAAATGTTCACTCCGTGTCCAAGACCCATTCGCGTTTTGAGAATGGGTCTTGGACATCTCTATGAGATGCAACAAGCTTTCACTTAACTTCAGTGTAAACCCATCCATGGATGATGGTCTTTGTGTATCTATGTTGGGGGAAAAAATTGATACAGCATAGTATTGCAATATTGTTGTGTAGCAATATCATATCATCACACAGGGCCAAGTATTTTTATTTTTATTTTATAAATTATCAATATTACTAATACAAATTAAACATTAAGTAGCCTACTAAAATAATATAATCAATTGCTTTTTCAGTCCACAAGACACATTTTTGCTGCAAAAAAAAAAATGGGTTATGTATCATGAACAGACTGAAAACTTTATCTTATGAGATAAAACAGATGTTGACAAAGTTTACCTTTGGAGTAAGGCTGTGCAATTGATCGTTTGGTGATCGCAATTATGATTTTGAGGTCAAACGATTTCAAAATTAATGAAATCAAGGGTAAAAAATTTTTGGTCATGGACGTCTGGAGATGTTATTTTGAGGGGTTGGTCTGTGTGTGTTTGTGTGTGTGTGTGTGTGTGTGTGCGCACGCATGTGTGTGCATGCGCACGTGTCTGTGTTTGTGTGCCAAAATGGGCCAAACTCTGCCGTGCGCGATACAGAGCAGAGGAGAATTGTAAACGTGCGACCATGTAGAGACAGAAATGACATGCCGTCGTGTAAACAACATCACGTGTGCTGCATAATCATTTGCATAATCATGAGTTAATTTTTTTAAAGATATTTTTTAGGGCATTTTTGCCTTTAATTGATAGGATAGTGAAGTGTGAAGGGGGGGAGAGACATGCAGCAAAGGGCCACAGGCTGGAGTCAAACCCGGGCCGCTGCGGCAATGGCCTTGTACATGGTGCGCCTGCTCTATCCACTAAGCCACTGATGCCCCCATGAGTTCAATTTTGACCAAAATAATCGTGATTATGATTTTTTCCATAATCGAGCAGCCCTACTTTGGAGACATAATTTACAGTGGAAAAAAGGTAATAGATTGCAACATATCGCAATATATTTTATTGCAATATTCAGCATATTACAATATATTTAAAATTGCAATATTGTATCATGACTTAGGTATCGTGATAATATCGTATCATGCATCCTCTGGTGATTCCCACACCTAGTATCTACTATCTACTTACATACTTATTTTAATCTAAAACATGATGCTTTTTTCTCACATCAAGTGATTTTGCTGCCTAAACCTAACCATGGGTGTTAACCACATGTTCCAACGTGCTTCACACAGGTGACAGCTATGTGTCACATACAGCTAAAGGGTGAGTCTCATAGAGACACCAAAAGGTACCTTCGGTGTCGGCATCACATTCCAAGGGGTGTGAGAAAGCGTTGGTATTTGATGACCTAGGATGAGAACAGTTGCCTGTGCAGCAAGCGGCTTAATTTTTTGTTTTCTTCCTCTAAATCAGTAGTTTAGAATAGTTCAAATGTGAATCTGGTTCCTCCTGTGCTTGTGTACAAAGCTGTGTCTACAGAGTCACAGCAGCATCTCTGGAGCTCAGCAGTGAAGTTAGTGAGTGAAACTGTATTACAAGTAATAGAAACAAAGAAAGAAGAAGAAGAAGGGAGAGAAGAAAAAGCATTGACTTTGAAAAAGACCCAGATCCACTGCAAAACACTTCAAGCTCATTCAGCAAATGCTTAGTCACACATCACAGTCAGATTTACTTTTCAGCTACATTTCTTAGTTTGAAGAGTCAGTTGCTGTGCTTTTCTTCATGTGTTCACATTCTATGTATACAGCTTGTCATTTGGATTGTCATTACTCTGTACTCATAACATCTATTGCATGTCTGTCCGTCCCTCCTCAGTTGCTCTTCCTGGGGTTAAAGTTTTTTTCTGCCAGTTTTTCCTGATCTGAAGGGAGGGTCTAAGGACAAAGGGTTTTGTAAGCTGTACAGACTGTAAAGCCTCTTGAGACAAATCTGTGATTTGTGATACTGGGCCATATAAATAAAATTGACTTTCCTTGACCTTTTACCACAACACAAAGAACACCAGAAGGTGGGGCGTCGGTGGCTTAGTGGGTAGAGCAGGCGCCCCATGTACAAGGCTGTTGCCACAGGGGCCCGGGTTCAAATCCAGCCCCCCTTCCCCCCCACGCTATGCCTACCTGTCCTGTCCATTAAAGGCAAAATGCCTTAAAAATATCTTTAAAAAAAAAACCAACACCACAAGGTGCTCCCAGTGAAGTGTATGGAGGTAGTGGGGCTAAATCATTGTATTCATCACTATCAGATTATGATTTAGGTCAAAACAAATTAAAAGACAAACATGATAACATATGTTTCCTTAAAACTACAAGTTAGAAGCCAAACTATACACATTGGGAAGCCTGCTATTACTGTATGCTAATCATGTTTGTCAGGTGTCTTGCATTCCTAACAGTGCAGCGTAGAGATGGCAAAGAGATCGCTCAAAGGAACAAACTAACTGTAGTGAACATTTAATTTAACAACACTGCACATGTCAGACGGAGCTGGATATCATGTTCAACCACCATGGGTTATAAAAGCTCTCTATCTTCACTCCCACACAGTGGAAACACCCCAGCTTGGAACAGGTCCACAGAGCTGCTGCCCATGCAGCCCATACTGGATATTACAGGGGAGGAAAGCAGAAAGAACGAAACTCATCTGTATGTAAATTATATTTCTAAATTAAATTTACATGGGGGCTAATACCTTAAATTTGAAAAATAAGAGACGTGATCAAATGGGGACCCGGGGATCGTTAGACCTCTTTTTATAATAACCCAAGTGGGATGAAAAAGGCAACTGAATTAGTGAATGAAAAAAAAAATAAATAAATAAATTAAAAAAAAGAATAACCAACATTTATGATGATCAATTATTCTTTTCAGGTACTTATTAACCAAAAGTGTCAAGACATCACTTTGGCTCTGGGAAATATCGGGGGACAACTATCATTGTTCACTATTATTTGTTGATGTACGTCGAGATGCTGCTAATGTGTCCAATTTTAAACAGAAAATGACAGGTGTGAATGTTTTTATGCTATTGGCTACAACGCCTTAACAAAAAATGTCTTTAGATCAACACAAATCATGAGTGTGCCACTTCATGCATTTTTCATTAAAAATGGAAAAAATAAAAAAATATTCTCATAAGAAGAATAGATAATAAGAACAGAGTGCCCCAAGATTGAGTCCTAAAACCTGTAAATGAGTTAGCATTTTAGTTCCCTCATCTGGGAAGTCAATGGGTTTTTTGAATGTGTTTTTAGTTAGACATCTGAAACAATGTCTGTGGTCAACACAAGCTTAAGAGACTTAAGAGAACCCAACTCATGAATTTTGAAGCTTTTATGTCTCTTAAAAAAGGCAAAAAGGTGGTTTCTAACAAGTGTCTAAATAAGACTGTATCATCACACTGAACATGACTTTACAGCCTTGTTGTAGTCATGCAATTGGTATCATTCATTTTTATCCTAACATTAGCAATTAGGCTTCAAAAATCATAAAAGAAGCGTTCATTTGTAAAGATTACCTTACTGAACAAATCATGTAAGTATCATAAATGCTCCATGCCACAGAGCTTATTTTCTGCAGTAATTTAAAATTCAGGGGGAAAATCTCATAGGCTTTTTGTCCAGGTAACCAGTACCAAGTTAGCTTCTGCGTCAGCCTACAGAAAAAAGTCATCCCTGCGGCACTCTATGGGACTAATAATATAGAAAGCTGGATCTAATAATCTGTCATTTCCCCCTTGTGGGGGATCACTGTATGAATAAGGGAATGTTGCACATCGATAAGAAGAACTACTTTATAGCAATGTTGGATTCACAGGATTGTTGCCTCAATGTGATAAAGTACAGTGATTTGATAAGTAATAATTTCCTTTACCATCTTTTTACATTGAGCTTACAGTATATTATGTGGATGATCATTGCAGTATTTATTCCCTTCACATGATTGGTTTCAGTTTTCATTTGAGTGGTTTTACCTGGCTCCGCTGACATCTACTCCAACCATCAGCTGGCCGTTCAGTGACAGCAGTTCGTCTCTCAGTTTGATGCCCCCACAGCGGGCTGCTGGGCTCTTCTTCCTCACCTCTGTCACCCAGATGCAGCCTACATCCATGATGGGGCCGTGGTCCCTCCTCCTCCTCGGGCCTCCCTTCTTTCTTCCGTCAGGGTCCCCAAAAATAGGGATATTCCCGAAGCTGAGGCCAAACTCAGAGGTATCACCCTCATCTTTACTGATGGAAACGGCATGAACCTCAACATCCAACCCCTCCCTGCAGGAGGATGGGCTGGCTGATGGAGTTGTGTCACCCTCCATGAAGTTGAACTTAATGTACTCCACCAACTTCTGAATGGCAGCCAGACACTGAGACAAGTCCTCCATATTAACACTATTAACACTGCTGCTACTGCACACACTATCTCCTTCCCCATTCTGGTAGGGGTCCTGATCCACATGCTGGAGGAAGAAGAAGAAGAAGAAGAAGAAGAAGAAGAAGAAGAAGAAGAAGAAGAAGAAGAAGAAGAGTGACCAATCAGTGAATGAAGGTGGATAATAACTTTTGTTAAAAAGTCTTTAACAACTAAACATTCACTTCCTATAAAGTAATGATCATGTGTTTTAGCATTCTGAAGTTCTGCATGGCTTCCCTTTTATGGTTCGGTTTTTACCAGGAAAATCATTTACTTACTCAGACTCAATTACAAGAGAGCCATTTACATTTGAGACTTATGCAGGGAGTTTCAGTCACATTTTTCAGTTGTCTTTCTGATGTCTGTCTGACAGAACAGACATTTTCATTTTAACCAGTGCAGCTGTCTACACTAACAGTTACATGTGTTTGACATGTGTAACTTTTGGAGTGTCATGAAGTTGGTCATTTCAAATTTGACATTCAGTACCAGTGACAGTGTTCTTCTACACATAACAACATCTGACAAAACTAGAATTATTGCCTCCACACACCAGTCAGGCTTCTCTTACAGTTTCCATCCACGTCTGTGAAAACATGGATACTTTACACCCATTGTCCCCCCGACAGCACAGAAGATCTATACAATCAGCACAGTTTCAAGGTGGGCACACAAGATTAGAGTCACCAATTCAGTATCTGACCAAATGTCTCCCCTTCTGTTCCTGAGATATGACATTGAGTAATGGCCAGAAAAGTGATTTATACAGACATACATTCTCTTTGGGTGTTCTTGAGATATTGTGTTCACAAAAAAGAGACAGGTGCAAGGTCACACTAACCTTGACCCTTGACTACCAAAATCTGATTAAATTGTTGTTGAGTTCAAGTGAATGTTTGTGTTAAATTTGAAGAAATACCCTCAAGCTGTTTTTGAGCTATTACGTTTACGAAAACGAGCAAAGTCAAAACAACCTAGACCTTTGACCCTTGACCACCAAAATCTAATCAGTTCATCAGAGTCCAAGTGCATGTTTTGCCACATTTCAAGAGATTCTCTTAAGTTGTTCTTGAGCTATAATGTTCACAAGAATGAGACAGACAAGTTCACAGTGACCTTGACCTTTGACCTATGACCACCAAAAACAAAGGATAACTTCGGTATTTTTCAACCTGGGCCCTATTTCCCCATGTGTATATGTGCGTATGATTCATAGGTACAACTCGTTTTAAAATTGGTTCAGTATTGAGCGAGGCGGATGCAACCGGGAGCCACGAAACAAGCTAAAATGGTAATGGGGGCAAATGCGTCCCGTATAAGTTTGCGCATTAAAAGTGCTTTTTTTCGCCACTGACCAGTTCAGATTGCCAGTGTAATCTCTGTAAACAGCATTATACCATTTCCAAAGGTGACCTACCACATACATGGTCAGAAGCAACCATATCAATCATTCACAAGGAAGGCAAAGACTTGACATGCTGTGAAAGGTACAGACCATTAGTCTGCTGTGTAATGATCAAAAGTTGCTGACCAATATTTTGGCAAAAAATATGACAAGACACTAACAACATAAGACTTTACTTCATATTATAACGTGCTAAAAAAACATGCAAAAGTCTATGTTGAGCAGTTTTGACACACAGAGAGCATACTGTGAATTGGCAATTTTGGGATACAACACTGGCCTCTATGGGATTCCACCCAGTGTCTGTGGACTGGGTCAAGGTCATACACAAAATTCAAAAGTCGTGTGTCAGAGTAAATGGGTGCTGCTTGGATTTATTCTGCCTTGAGAGAGGGGTAAGACAGGGCGATTATCTTAGTCCATTACTTTTTGCTATAAATATTAAACTACTAGCAGCTTTAATTATACAAAATAAGAACACCAAGGGTATAAACGATACAAGTCAAAGAGAACATTCACTCTACGCAGACAATGTGTTATACATTAGCCGCTTAATTCTGTTCCTGCTTTGACAGAAAGTCTAAAAGAATAAGGAAACCTCTCAGGGTACCAAATTAACCAATCGAAGTCAGAGGCGATGATGCTGGTGGGGTAATAGCCTGCAGAGCTGACAGGAAAATTTGAAAATTCACTCATCTAACAATGGGTTAGATACTAAGAAATAATTACAATTCCTGAAGCTTCACAATTGTTTACGGCTAATTATGCAAAATTGATGGGAGAAAAATAAGAAATGACCTTAGTAGATAGGAAGTCCAAACCTGGAAAAATATTACTGGGCTGCCCAGCTTAAATCAATGGTTTCATAGTTGTTGCATGGAGTGCACTTGGATACAATCCCATTTATGAATGAAAATTAAATAATCAATAGGCGAAAACTACCTTAAAAATATGATCAAAGGTGAGAAATAAGTTAGGTCTCCCCATGCCCACATCTCGTGCAATGAAGATTGCAGGTGATACTGATTTTTTACCATCCACACTAGGAGCAGGGTTCCAGAAATGGGAGGACAGGGGTTTAACCATATTGGGTCAGTTAGCTGAAGGAGGAGTTCAGATGTTCAGCTATCAGGCTCCTCTCCTGTGGAATCATCTTTCTGTTACGATCCGGGAGGCAGACACCGTCTCCACATTTAAGACTAGACTTAAGACTTTCCTCTTTGATAAAGCTTATAGTTAGGGCTGGCTCAGGCTTGCCCTGTACCAGCCCCTAGTTAGGCTGACTTAGGCCTAGTCTGCCGGAGGACCCCCCTATAATACACCGGGCACCTTCTCTCCTCTCCCTCTCTCTCTCTCTCTCTCTCTCTCTCTCTCTCGCTCTCGTATTCTATTTCTGCATCTTGCTAACTCGGCCATTCTCGATGTCACTAACTCAGCTTCTTCTCCGGAGCCTTTGTGCTCCACTGTCTCTCAGATTAACTCATACCGCAGCGGTGCCTGGACAGCGTGATGTGTGTAGTTGTGCTGCTGCCGTGGTCCTGCCAGATGCCTCCTGCTGCTGCTGCCATCATTAGTCATTAGTCATACTTCTACTGTTATTATACACATATGATTATTGTCACACATGTATACTGCCAGATATTAATACATACTTTCAACATATTGTACCACAGTAGCCAGAACTATAACTATAATATTATTACTTTCAATAATGTTGTTGTAAGCTATTGTCATTACCTGCATCTCTCTCTCTCTCTCTCTCTCTCTCTCTCTCTCTCTCTCTCTCTCTGTCTGTCGGATTACTGTTAATTTATTATACTGATCTGTTCTGTACGACATCTATTGCACGTCTGTCCGTCCTGGAAGAGGGATCCCTCCTCAGTTGCTCTTCCTGAGGTTTCTACCGTTTTTGTTCCCCGTTAAAGGGTTTTTTTTGGGGAGTTTTTCCTTATCCGCTGTGAGGGTCATAAGGACAGAGGGATGTCGTATGCTGTAAAGCCCTGTGAGGCAAATTGTGATTTGTGATATTGGGCTTTATAAATAAAAGTGATTGATTGATGTCCTTAGAACAACTTCGGCATATACTGGCAATATCATCTTCAAGCCCATGACTTCTTTAGATATCTCCAACTGAGACACTATCTACAGAAACATGAAGATTGGGAAAAATTCTGTACTTTATCATCTAATTTAGAACACTATTGATGTTAACAATTAAAGGAACTGTTAAAAAGAATATTATATCACAGATAAATACAATATCACTAGTCCATACCCATTGGTAACTTTGTCACCTTCTACCTATGCCAATCCTCAATGCCTATGTGCAGTTTCACATAGATTGACCACGTCAGTGAGTAGGAAAATGTGGGACAGACAGAATGACTGACTGACAGAATGACACACTGACAGTTTCCGTCATTATGTACAGCATACCATGCCATGACTTAGTCATACCAAAAATAAGAAAAACAAAACATTCAGCCACAGGGGGAGCCACAGCCATCGGTCGCATTTTAGCCATTTTTAAGCATTTTTCTGTTGTTATAGCGCCACCCAGTTGCCAATTAGAGTTAAATTTCTCCAGTCACCTTGAGGCGTCCTGTTCTACATATCTACCAAGTTTAGTAAAAACCGATATGGCGGTTAGGCCTAGATAAGAAATTAGCTCTGTAGCGTCCCCATTTTGTTTGATTGGGTCAATAATGGAGGGGTCCCCTCAGATTATGTGTGGTCATATGCCTACAAAGTTGTGTGGTGATCGGTGAAACCCTTGAGATGTTATACACCTTTATGTGATGAGCCACGCCCTCCGCAATATTCATTGCCTTATAGAAGCTCAGTTTTAGTAAGTTTTCCAACTTTTTCCAAGAGGGAACTTTAGATATTGGTCCCTAGATTATGTTCAGCGAGTTTCATGCAGATCAGTCAAACTTCCTAGGAAGAGATCGATTTGAAGTGTTTTTCAAAAAAATCAAAATGGTGGAAAACCTATAAAACCATAAGTTATGGGTTCTTGAGGCAAATTTATTCCTCATGAGGAGAGGCATCTCTGTGCAAAGTTTCATATCTCTACGACATACGGGGCATGAGATATGCCCATTCAAAGTTTGCAATTTCAATTGGTTGCTATAGCACCCCCCTTTGGCCAACTGATGTAATATTGCGTCATTTGCATCCTCCCATGACCCTCTACCACTGTGCCAAATTTCACATGGATTGACCAAGCAGTGAGGAGAAAAACATGGAACAGACAAACAGACACACCAACAGACAAGAGTTTTCATCATTATATAGACAAGAAGAATCTGTGGATAACAGCTTGGATATTAAGGAAAAATGGGAACTGGAGATGAACATCATGATTCCAGATAAAGAGGGAATTATTCTGCAGAGAGGGACATAAAGTAACAAATAGCCCTAGAAAAAGAGAGAGACAACTGGTAGTTCTGTATATGCAAATGCAGATCAAAATCTTGTGTCGGGTGCTCATGGAGATCAGGAAACAACAGGATCGACAGGAAGGCAATCCAGGCACTCCGAAAAAGACATATAGAAAAACAAGGAAAGAAATATTATAAACTCTTTATTATAGTGGCTAAATCATTAAAAGAGCCAACATGTTTCGACCACTGCAGGTC